TCCCTAGTCTTCCATTTGCTGCTGATGTAATTGAAGCAGCCCTTCTTGTTGTCTTTGACATGCCTTGCCAGATTCAATTCCAGGTGGGCATTGGCCTTCCTCGTTGCATCCCTGCATGCTTTGACAACATTCCTGTACTCTTCTCAAGTGGCCTGTCCCTCTTTCCACATTCCATGGACCTTTCTCTTCCACTTGAGCTCCGCTAGAAGCTCCTTGCTCATCCATGTGGGTCTCCTGCCTCCTTTTCTAGATTTCTTTAGTACCACAGACAAACGTGTCCTACAGAGGAAAAAGCAGTTAATCCACCCAGCCTCAACTGTAGCTGTTATATTCTCCCTCCACACTGATCTCCTAATCAGACCCAGCTCCCTATCACAATGCAACAGAAGTTCATCAGTTCTGCTACAGACAAGACTATTCGTTGCTTACATGCACAGTGGGGAAAAAGATTTATGCCCAGTTTAGAAAATAGCTTGAATACATGCTTAATTTTAAATACATTCTTGGATTTTTTTTTCCACGAACTAGGTTTTATTTAAACATTGCTTTAGACAATATTATACAGGCCAAATATATAGAAAAATGACAAGTATCAAATAGCACATAGTATATTCTAAAATGCCTACTACTGAAATTCTGAAAGGAAGGCCAAAGTAAAAATAAAATAGGATATAGGAATACAGAGGAATTCCTACAATACTTTCAAGAGCAAAATGGGGTTTACTTTGGAAACGAACCAGACATTTGGCAGAGGCTCCAATGGAAGCAGATTCTCTGTTACTTACCTCCATAGGATAAATAGAAGTTTGTGCTGTTGCTCCAGCCAAAGAACCAGATACAAATCTTTCAATAGTGCCTAACTTTCCATCATCCTTAGTGAGTATCTTCTTATACTGTATAGTTAAAACACACAAAATAAACATCGTATGCTGTTTAGGAGAGGCAAGAGTACAGTACAAAATGTCTTTTCAAGCTGTATTTACTTTTTCATGTATTTACAGTTACATTTACTAACCCAACAAGCTTAACACTATACTCACTGCAACTCTGTGGACTAAGATTCTCAAGAATACGATAAATATTCCAGCCTGCAATAATCCTTTATATTAAACACCTCAGCCACTCACAATACTGTCAAATATTCTACAGACAGCCAACACAAGGGTATCCACAGTATGACCAACCCCCAGATAACAAAGAGGAACATGACACCCTTGCAGATCCAGTTCTCCAATCGAAGAATGAAAGATCAACTAGCAGGTTCACAGAGACACTTAGAGAGCTGTACACATTGTGTCATTCAAGACAAGAGACACCATCATGCAAGAATGCAGCATCAGCTCCCAAAAGGCAGAGCAAGAGTAAGGAACAATGTGCTCAAAGTTACTCTGGCATTAAAATCTGCCATTCAGTCTTAAAATATCCTGAAGTTTACTCAACTTTTTGCTGCTTTTACTTCACCGTTGTAGAGAGGTGTGCAATACGTTCATTTAGTCTTACCTGAGGCACTAGCAAGCCCCACAGAGGAAAAATAAAGACACCAGAACTGGAGTTCATTTTCCAAAGTAGGATTAGGTCTTAACACGATGCTTAAAGCCAATTCAGAGGTAAATATAACACTGAAATCCAGGATGAGGGCATCTTGCATAGCACCATGATATTTGACTTAAGAAGAATCCTGTATAAGTTCAGCTAGCATAACATGCTAAGTTTTTGGTTGTCACTTCGAAGCAAGAAACTAGATATTAATGCAGTACTCCACATAAAGCTATGCAGACTGGAAGACAGTTTAAAAATCTATGACAGATGTAGTTTTACACTGCTTATAACACAATGGCAAAATCTGCCTAATACCAAGTATCCTATTAACAGAATAAGTAGACTATTTCAAATGTGATGGTCACTAATTTATTGCAACAAAATCTCCAACCATGATAGAACTCCTATATAACAGTGCAAATAATGCGAGCAGTGAGAGTGATATAGCATTATATCTGCCATTATTTTCTTTCCTGATTTATCATCCTACCTGTTCATAAGCCCAGAACTTAATAGCTGTTTCAGGAGCTATTTTCACAACGTTTACACCATTTCCCCTCCAGAGGGATCGGACACCACCTTCTTTCACCATTTGCTTAAAACCACTGGCTATATTCATTTTGTTTGATTTCGAACCATGAACCTAAAATAAACCAAAGTTACAGTAAAGAACACTGCTCTGATAAGATTACAAAGTTCATCACCTAAGTACTAAATTACTTAAATATATCAACTAGCAAAAACACATCCACTATATAAAAACCCCCTTGTTTCAGTGGCACAAGTACTGTAATATCTTGTTTACATTTTTGTCTTTTCCATAGTCATATTGGCAACTTTTTACTAACACAAAATACGTAAATTGTCAAAACATAACTAGACCTCCAGAATTTAGTTATTGTACGTGGCTATGATTTTTCCGTAACAGCTCTCTAAAAACTGAAGTAATACACTGGAAACTAAAAAGTTCTTGAACATTGCACCTACCTGCATCATCACTTTAAGGCGATCTAATGGTGCTGTACCTGTTCGAGAGACAGCACCAGCCACTCCTCCTGCCAACAGCTGTTTCCACCACTGTCCAGTCTTTTTCTCTTCCTCTGTGAACTCATCTGGAACAGTCAAACTATCTCCTATATCCAACACCTATTAGAATCCAAAGCAAATACATGAAAATAGCTTTCTTCTTCCATCATCTCAATTTTATCAATAGTTCTAATTCCACATTAACCTACCAAGTGAGAATATGTAAATAGAATACTAGTTAAAAATAAAACATATCTAATTTCCATTCTATAATTAACATAATTCCGTATCTGTAATTTCTATTAATTTCCATATCTAGAATTACGAATTGCTACTCAGTGAATAACAACTTTTAATGACTTCTACATAGATATTGAGTAATAACACCAAAGACCCACCATTTCAAAGACTGCACCATCATCATTAAAAATTCTGACAAATTTCTGCCTTGAGTATGGCCCAAACAAACACATTCTGTCATAACCAGTAGACCTTCGCAGTCAGCACTAAAGCTCAAATGCTTGTAATGTTGCAGCTAACCTTTCACCAGACAGTCTTCTGGGATTAGTCTGGTAATCTCTTAAGGATGCTAACACGAGATTTCTCTCTCTTGGTAATTTATTCACACATACATGGGATTTCCAATTCCCCCCACCCTCCCTAACATTTTAAAGTAGTATTTTTATAGCTGATATATCGAAATATTTTATTTCCGGTAACTGCTGTATATTACCTTATAAAATGACAAGTTTGACTCATGCTTTATAAATTTTCTCATCATCACTTACACTGAAAGGCACATTAATGACTTTTTTCAGCTATACAAGTTTGAAATTTCATTAAGATATGCATGTCTGTGTTCCCATCCAAAATGAAAAAAAAAAATATTACTATAGGCTCTAGTGATAAAGCTGTCCAAGACGTAAGACTATGGAAATCTCACATATCACTTAAACATAGTCTCTGCTCTTCATATAATTTATAACTATGATATGAGAAAATATATACTGTAGATAATGCAAAGCCAATATTATGTATAAATTAAACCTATAAAGAAGAATGTTTTAATAACTGGTAAGTACTGACCAGAAAGCTTGTTAACTGATAAACTTTTTTTAACTATTGTTGGTTTTAACTGTAGACACTACGTCCCTAATTTATGCTGTATTCCTCATCTGCTGAGTAGACAGAATACTGTCTTAGTCATTTGAAGCCCAAGAATTGCAGGATGCAGATTATAGATCTAGCCACTGGAAAAACAGGATAAGCACCAACTATTCTGGATATTGAACACAGAACAGATTAACTGAAAAATCCTTTCATCTTCCTGACATTCGTAGTTTCCAAGTAAGGTGTTACAAGTTTCTCAACTATATGGAATCATCAAAAGATCAATCAGAACTCTCAAAATATAAAAACAACGCTCTTAGAGATATTATGCAGACCTACCAGGGTTTAAACCTTGTGTCTACTAAGCCCTAAACACAACTAAGAAAAAAAGCTAAATTTGAGGGTGTTTATAACAAAGTCCACAGCTACCAACTCATAATAATTCTATGCCAATACAGCTATCTGCTTGGAAGAATGTGACATCAATTAAAATTTTACAATAAAAACAGAACTGGAAGAGCTGTCAATGCCAGCCAGACATGCGAGGTCTTCACATCTGCTCTTATCTGAAAGACCAACTGTGTTGCTGTATAGCTCGATTTTGTTTGCTGTGGTAACTGGGTCACCAGTTGACTGCAACACTGCAAGATCACAAGAGACTTCTAGAATTGCTTCTTGAGGGTAGCTAATGACCTTCCATAATAAAAAAAAAAGTAGATTTAATATTTAATAATAGTAATAAGAAGCATTTTATTAAAGCAAAGGGTTTTTTCCCCACTGAGTAAGCTGGGACCAGGATTATCTGATCTCATAGCAGTGTTTCAAGTGTTTTCTTCAGCAAAGAGGGAGCTAACTCCCTTGTGGCAAGCATTTCTGAATTAAGGTTGTATAGCGTGAAACACTCCATGCTTTCGGATCTCATACACTGTTTTTTATTATGGAAATGCTGACTAATCCCTGACGATATAAATGGTGTCACTATATTCAACGAAATATGTCTTTACCTAACTTTATGGATTACTCCAACTATCTACAGCAAGGGTATTTAGCAAACAGGATTACTATTGGTTTACTTAACTTATTTGTTCTTAAAAGTCACTGAGGTGGCAAGTGCTCCATTCAATAGTAACTTAAAAAAATTATCTGCACAGTGGATAGCCTATTGCTGTATATTCTGTCATTTTTAAGTTCTATAGCACAAAATAGTGTGAGAACATGTGCACAGAACATCATCACTAATGACACAAGTGATTTTATGAGAACAACAGTATTACTATATAAATGCAAATACTGAACTGATTTCAACATAAGAAACATTTAAAATGTTTCCACAGTTTGTTTCAACACATCAAAAGCACTGAACATAAGAATGTACTGTAATATGAAAAGAAAAATATTTATTATTGTGGTTATTAACTTTCTGTGGAATATCTCCAAATAAAGAAAAGGATCCCTTCCTAAGAACTACTGATAATTATTGGCAAATTTAGATGAAGTTCTTTGTTCAGAAGAAACTCACATCACACCATCCTGCTTGTAAACAGGACAGTACAAATTAAAAAGCAAAGTCAAACAAATACAGGTATGCTTGAAACAACAACTGTGAAGCTGTTATACTCAGTATTTAAATTAACCCAGCAGAGATGAACTTAAGAGCTGCGCTAAGTTAAAAGAAAAGTTGAACTTACAGTGGAATGTTTCCAGTATCGAATTATTTCCTCTATGTCTGTAGCTGGGTTAAACATAAAATGATCTCTCCACTCATTCCAGTCTACTGTCATTGTCCCATCAGCATCAATACTGAAAAGAAATCGAACTATATAAGGAAACAGTAGTAAGGATGGGGTTTTGTCGTCCGTCTGTGTCCCTTTTTTTTTTAATTTCCCCAGCCACATCAGTGACAACTGACTACAAATTCCATATGGAGACTTCAAGGCTGAACCTGCCAAGGCCTTTCAATACTATGTTTTTCTTATGTAAGTGCATCAGGCATATTCCATTTAAAAACATAATATAACGCTTCATTCTATCAACACCACTTACAAGGAAATGAGATAACATTCTCCTCCCAGAACCAGATGCTCGAATAGTTACTAGACTTACTATCACCCAAGAACAGACGGAATATGTGAGATTTCCTATAAAGGCACCACTGAAGGTATCAACACCTTTTGAAGTTATTTATCCTGTTCTCTGAATTATAAAAATATAATAATTAACAACACAAAGAAGCTTAAAATACTTTAAGAAACACTAATTCCTGACCTTTGCAGGATCTTTTCTGCCTGCTTTTCTGAAATGCTTATACCCAATATCTTGAGGGACTGCACAACTTCTGATGCTTCAATTTTTCCTTGAAACATTAAAAGAAAGATGATACGTATTTAAAATATGGAGCTCAATACACTTAGCACACTGGAGCTCACTAAGTTTTATTGTAACACCTACACAATAGCAAAGATAATTTAAAATAAATTTAAACACAGATGATATATTTTACTACAAGGACTGAGCAAAGTTAAGTACATTAAAATCATGCAACCAAATGAGATGCAAACATTCAATGAGTTAAAAATTATTTTATCTTAATAGATACTTAGAAACTTCCTTATAGTTTCTCCATCTAAGGAACAAAGAGCCCCAAATCAACAGACCTGGAAGACAGTGAAAAGAAAAAAAGACTAATATTTTTTTTTCCAATCTATAGTAAACTATAATTCTGATCCTATTAAAGAAAAGAAGCAGGAGTTCCATATTTGCAACTTTTTGTCTCCAGTTTAGACAAAGAATATAAATGAAGATAACTTTTAATGCACAGTTTCTTCCAACAACATTTGAACAAATAAAATATATCAAGCCATACCATCATTGTTTTTGTCCAGGCTCTTAAATGCCAGTTTCATCTTTTTCTCATGATCTTTAAGATACTGCATAAATTCTTCAAAATCTAGCTGTCCATCCTGGTTAGTATCTCCAGCTTTAAAAATTTTCTGTTGAGAGAAAATTCAACATTTGACTTCTCCAAATTATAGCAGACCCCTGGCTTAAAAAAAAAAAAGCATCATATTGGCCACTTTGGGAGTCAAATCAGGAAAACACCTAAGCATACACTTCAGAGCTATATTTTGGTTTCAGAATTTAACACACTCATTTTCATAAAGAGAGAAAACACTCAGCACTAAAGGCAGATTTAAGAAAGCATTATTTATTATTTACTTAACTTTCCTATTCAAAGGTTTTAAGATTTCTTACCAGCACTGGCAAGTTACACTTACAGGTATCAAACAATTTGTGGAGAAGGTGGGGGACAGGACAAAACCATGAAAGAGAACTTCAAGCCTGTGACTTTCCTCGTTATACACAAAATTTGTCAATACATCAGTAAAATTAAACAAATATGGTGTTAACTATCCTCTTTAATCCAGTGCTCTACTAATTATAAACTACAAAGATAAAAATACAAATAACAATTAACTATTTAACTGTTGACAAAAAAAAAAACCGCAAAGGTCTTGCCTGACTAGCACTTCCACCCCACAGGGTTTGAGAAGGCAGGGCTTTCTCATTCAAACTGAAGCCCTGACAAAAATTTAAAACAAACAACAACAGACTTGTAACACACGGAAGCACAGTTATTTTCCATTTCCGCATGAATGCATGGCATACAATTGCCAGCACTGCGGGAAACAAGTCTAAAACATAGCCTAGGCATGCACTTCTCCATCAACAAAGGCAAGAATAGTCTACCATCTTTGTGTGTGAAAACATACTATTTTAAAAAGGGAAATCACAGCAGCCTCCCCACGCATCAGCCTGTAACTGCTGAGGCTTGTCTTCAAAGGTAAAGCCCCGAGAAGAGGGAAGCCCAGGCTATCAAACTCTGCAGGATTTATTAGCTCGGGCTTTACGCCAGAGCAAGGGCTGCTCTGCACTGGAGGGCCGCAGAGAGCAGCGGGGCCGAGGAGAGGCAAGGCCCACAGCACACTGCCACATGCACCTTCCGTCCATCGCCCATGTCCAGAGCTCTGCTGTCTCCTCTGGCAGGATGTGCAGGAAGCAGACAGGGAAACCCACCCCAAAACTCTGCCCTAGAACACAAGCTTTAAGGGGAAATTATGCCTCATCATTTTGTTTGGGCATCAGTCCCCGTGGTTTCCCTCAATGTGTGAAATCCTATGGAGGCATCACTTCGTACAAGACACCAACCTGACAGCGCAATCTCTTCATTAATTTGCCAGAAGTTTCAGAGCACTTCAGGGTACACGTGAAGCATATGTCAAAAAATCTTCCAAATACCTTCTATTTTGCAGACTGCCTTGTGCAACTGTAGTTTCTGAATAAAGTAGTTCTCAACAAGGTTTGCATGGCTGTTCCAATCTGCAAAATCTGTTTTTAATCATTTTGTTTACTCCACATTAATTAGCAGAAGTCCTCAAGAGACCAAAGTCCAACAAATTCTAGCCTACAGAAACTTAACATAAAGGAAGTTGAAAACCTTGGTGTATTTGTTGCAGGTGTCTGAAAAAAATTGAAGACATCTGAATACATTTATGTTGCCTCCTTTGTCTTTCCTAGCCTTCCAGTAAAAGAAACGTACTTTAATGTTTAATCTCAAAAAACCTAAATTTGTAAGATTATCATACCATTATTCCCCTCTCAATGGAAGGCAGGAAGACGACGTGGTACTCCACACTGAAATAAGAAGCAAATTATTTATCTTCCATAATGCAGTAAACTATGCACAATAAAATCAACTGAAGTTACTACAAGGTCAGATACAGGTGTTTGGTAACAGCTTAGAAAAACAGTGTTCTTAGCATATTCGTAAGTGCAGCTTGATTGTCATTCCTATTAATAACCTGTCAACAAAAATGTACTCCAATTCAGTTTCATGCCCTTGCCAATACGGTTACAGCTGTTCAGAATTTCCCATTATCAAAAAAATAGTTTGTGTTTATTGAAGTTTATGAATTAAGATTAAGAATTAAGACCAATATAGAAAGGCTAATAATCATTCAAAAAAAATCAAAACAAACAAAAACTCCAAACCAAAAACCACCATTAAAAATTACTTCGGCCAGAAAAGAGTCCCCCCATCAAAGACACTGCAATCTCAACTCATCTTGTACTCCACGCACGGCACCTCATACCATTGGATCCAAGTGACCCACTAGAGTCCCATGAGCTACTGAAAAAGAAGCGATTTTACGTGGCAGTCACACACACCCTTTGAGTGAATTCTAGTCAATGCAAATTGTTCCTGCCCCCTACCGCTATCTGAACTACACAAAAAAATGTAGAACAAGTGATGTTCTGGCTCACAGATAAGACAAAACTTAAACTAAATTCCAATTACAAAATCTGCACTGCTGAGGATGATGTGAACCAAAGAAAACAGAAATTCCTAGCAGGTTTAAAGAGCTGGCAATTAGGGTGTGTGAAGGGGGGCACCTTCCATTTCATCTGCCAAATGAGCGGATTTTGTATTGCAACAACTAGAAAAGGATAAGCACAAACATACTCTCCGTTCCCTACTTTAGTTTTTACAGTTATTTTCCAGACTTCAAGACAGTCTCAGCCACTCTCAGTGCAGCAGAACAGAAGCGAAAGCAAACAAAAATATATGCTTTTGCTCAGCAGGCATATGCCTTTTTCTCACATTACAAATCTAAAAGTTCATACAAACAAAAGCGTCTTTGTGTCTATAAAATGTACTAATTACGTTGGTGTTAAAGTTTCAGATTAAAACCGGTAATTTGCAAGTTTGTGGAACAAACAGGAATGCTGAAAGGAGCTTGCCTTCCACCTGGGGGGCAGAAACCGCCTCTTGGGCAGGGTGTTATATACTCCGTAAGCACAGCCAGTAGGAAGCCATGTACTTCATTCTGTGTGGAGTCTGGCACACTAACTCCCAGGTACAAACTGCCCATTCACAGCACCAAGTAATTCAGATTGGAAGGGACCTCCGGAGGCCATCGAGCACAACCTTGGCTCAAAGCACATCTAATCTAGTTAGATCAGGTTGTGCAGGACCACATCCAATTAAGTCTTGGACATCTCCAAGGATAGATATTCCACAGCTTCCCCAGGCAACCTGTTCCAACATTCAATCACTCTCACTTCAGTTCAACAAGGAATCTAACTCTGCTGTTCTGCATTTAATATACTACCAGATTTTGCATAGTTACAACCACTTGTCACTGTGCCACTTTCTGGTTCACCAGCTTCTCTGAGGGAGGAGAATTGGGTGCATTTTAAAATAGGCATGCATACAACAATAAAGCAGGAACCAAACTAAGTGCCAGTCCTCACTTGGAAGTCCTGGGAAACAATGCTCAGTGTGCCTGCCATGTAAAACCTGCCATTTCTTGTTACAGACAAGGTGTGGGATCACCTCACCTTTACGTAGACCCAGCCCCAAGAGGAAAATGTTTATTTTTCTAGGCGTGCCATTTCTTATCTCATTGTCTAAAAACTTTAACCCCCAGCAATATAGATAATTCATTAGATAAAATGAGATGGTGACCACATAAAGAATTGCTAATTACTGACAGATACAGGAATACAGTTCAGACAGTCTTTCCTTTTCACACTATGCAGGCCTTCACACATACTGATTACAATGCTCCTGTGGTGACCTATTTGGTCATGACACTACTGCCTTTTTCTTTTCTTTTCTTTTTTATTTTTTAGTCTGCTACTTTTGTTCTTTTTCTGCTGTGTATTTTGTTAATACAGTTGCTTTCAAAGTCCTGCACAGCAAGGCAACACCAATGTGAAAGGCCACAAGTAGACTGAAACACTGAAGATTTTTATTTTTAAATTTCTGTATTATATAAAGCATGTTGTAGTGCTGAAATCCTACTCCTGCAGAAGACCTCTGTATTTTGTGTGGAAACCTAAGCCAGCAGGTCTGTTGAAAAAAAATTAAATAAAAAAAAAAAAATCAGAAAAGTTACAGACAGGCTTTACATACACCTAAAAATCCTGACACTGTGACAGGCCTGATGAATTATTAGATTACTCTGTGTCAAAGAACTTTAACACATTCATAGCCACAATGTAAAGTCAGAGAATGCAAGACACTAGAAATCTTAATGCTTTTATGTACACTTTTCTTTTATAATTCACAGATTAATTTTTATACTACTTAGTATCATTATTTGTGTACTGTGCATAAGCCTTCACATTTTGGTTACAAAACTGAATTGTGCATGAAAGACGGGGCTACTCAGTACAAATTATTACCAATCATCTATTCGTTAGCTTGTCATTTCAGCTAATTAATACACTGTAAAGAATGTTTAAAAGGAAGTGATCCATCAAGAAGTTATTGGGTGTTTCTGGCTTCCTATCATGCTATCCACAAGACACCAGTAAAAATACAACACTTAAAGACACATAATTGGTGCGATTAGCAATTCAGTGTTTTGTAATCTATGACTAGAGTTCCAAAGGGCACAGTTACAAATACTGCATAGAAAAAACACCAGCACCACAGTAAGAACAGCATCGTGTCTTCAGACATTCACAAATTTCACATTTTCTTTTAAAACCAGAGGTACTATATATAAAATCAATCACCATATTCCCTTTTCCTGCTCTTTTCCTCTTCACCTCCAAAATAATTAGTGCTAGTCATTCACATAATTCTGCATTCTACAATTATAAACTATTAGACTGTACTCTTCTTGGAAGCTGAATTCAGTCACAGCTCAAGTATACGCAACTCTTCTCTCTTTACTGGATACATACCCTACAATACTAAAACTTAATGTTCTTTTCCTCTCTCTATCTGTTAAGGCTATGCAAATTTATGACACACAACAATAACTCAAAAATCAGCAGTAAAAATTATTAAAGTTGGTCTTGTCAAACTGCATCAGCTGGGAGATAAATCCAGCATAAAGGAAAAAGGCCTGAGGATGTGTCCACACAGCATTATATCCCAACCAGTGAGTCTACATAACACTAACAAACTAGACTGCCACTTAAC